TGACCCAAAAGCGGAGTCATCACTCTGTTGACCGTCCACGTAAGTCACTGATTTCACTACTTTCAAATTTCCCTATATAGTTATTTATCGTGGACGTAACAGCACATTAAGGCCTTTTTTGAATTTTGATATTTTTTTTACAGCTCTTTTGGTAAAAATATTTCTTTTGACTCCAACATTGATAATCAGGGGAATCCGAAAAATATGCAACTTATATATTGTTTTAACTTTTTTTTTATTTTTTTTTCACTTGTCGAACGTTGCTGCTTTCCTACAATTTAAACAAGTTACTGATCTTTTAATCACATTATGTAACTGCAATATCGAACGACTAGCGGGGGGCTGCGCCCCCCGCACCCCCTAAAAATTAACCTGAAAACTAACCTAACCCAACGTATCGTCACATTAATCGTCAGTCACTGTTTATTAAAGTGTTTAACTTTTTTCTTAATAAATTTTTAATAAACAATGATTAACGGCTAATGTGACGATAGGTTGGGTTAGGTTAGTTTTGAGGAGGGGCGTGGGGGGCGCAGCCCCCGCTAGTCGTTCGATATTGCAATTACATAATGTGATTAAAAGATCAGTAACTTGTTTAAATTGTGGGAAAGCAGTAACGTTTGACAAGTGAAAAAAAATAAAAAAAAAGTTAAAACAATATATAACTTGCATATTTTTCCGATTCTTTCGATTGATTATAAATGTTGGAGTCAAAATAAATATTTTTACCAAAAAAGCTGCAAAAAAATATCAAAATTCGAAAAAGGCCTTATGGCTCCTGCACACAGGACGCGGTAATGCTTACCGCGCGGCGGAAGTTCGCGTAACAGCCAATCAATATGGTACTTTCCGTAATAACCTTCTAGCTCTTACGAAAAAGAAATAACATATTGATTGGCTGTCGCGCGGACTTCTGCCGCGCGGCAAACATTACCGCGTCCTGTGTGCAGGAGCCATTATTGTACATAATTATGGGAGCGTCCCGATTGACCACGGTACGATTGGACACAACTAACCGATGAAAATAATTATCTAGTGAATTACTAGGTCGAACCAATCATTACAATCTGTGTCCAATCGTATCGTGGTCAATCGGGTCCCACCCCATAATTACCCGAAAAAGAACCAGAAGTATTGAAATACTAGATAGTACACCGGTCGTGCCTGACGGTACTTCCACAGCAGCGCTTGAGATCGATAATTCGATAAATACATGATTTTTTAATATTTAATTAAAATTATCTAGATGACTCACAAACCTTTTTAATGATACTTCATAACTCTTCATACGAAATACAAACGATTTAAAAGAATAGGTTTTCAACCGGAGTTTTTTTCTGGTCAAGTATATACGAATCTAATCACTGATTGCTCACTGATCAGCTATGTTTTCTGAACGCAGCCGAAGTGTCCCAAATTCAGGGCTGGGAAATCTGTGGTCTGTACTTTTCAACTGCACTGCTACACTGGTGCAATAAACTAAAATGAAATTAATATATTTGTCTCACTCTAACTTATTGAACCAGTACAACAGTGCAGCTGAAAAGAACAGACCTCTGGTCAGCTCAAAGAAAAAAAAAGAAACTGTAGGAGCAATGTCGTAGAATCACTTAAAGCAAAGTGCTTTCAGCCAAATATTGAAATATTGAAACTGAAACTGAAAAAGAAACTGTAAAAGCTTGACATATATACTCGATCTTACTTTATTAGACTATAGTGTACATTACATACGCATATTTAACCAAATTGGTGATTACTTAATCATTATCATAATGGTTTTTATACCAAAATCCTATTAAAATTCATTTGAAGTTCCTTCGTACCACTTTGACTGTTTCAGGTCTATTCCTTTCAATTTGTTTTTGTAATTGTTAACTAGCTTGTTAAAGCCTGCATCCTCTGCCTCAAATTGTATCTGCTTTATAGAAAACAGGAAAAAGAAGACAATAAGATTTAAATATAGAATGTGAATAAGGTAAAATATATAATAAATAAATATCTTACTAGCATGTTTTCTTTCTTTTTTTTCGCTTTTTCCTTCTTCGTAACTTCCGTCTGTTTGGTCGTTTTGCGTAATTTTCGCTCCTTTTTTACAGTTTTTATATGTAATGCAGCTTGTGATTTTAAGTTGAAGTTTGATCTTAATTTATTTTGTCCCAATTTGCTGGTAATACCGGCATAAAACATTTCATTAGAGTCATCCAACTTTCTTGTTTTAACTCGTTTATTCGATAGTTCTTCCACTGTGATATCTTCAGCTTTCCTCTTTCCCTTGTATTTAGAACATAACGGATTATGTTCGCGACTCTTCTGAATTCTTCTTTCCTTCGCATTCATCATGATACGATTTTCTATTGAGAATCCAACGATTGGCCTCTATATTGAGTTTATTAAAAAAAGAGAAAACACTTTTTATTAAAGATTTTATGGGAAATATGAAAAATAAGATTATTAATAAACCGTTATGTAATATTTTACCTTGCTTTTAGAAAATATATTCGGGTTGTTATTTATACTTCTCAAAGCTTTGAGTGCATCTTCGTGAGTGGTGAACGCAACAAAACCGTACTCTTTCGATTTTCCTTTTCCAGTTGCATCAACATTTTTTAAATCTCGCATAACGCGCGCCTTGAAAAATATTTCAAATAAAAATTTGACTCCAAAATAACTTTAGATGCTATTTAATATGACTTTAAATTGCAATTACTTCTACAATGACGGCCTTGGGGCCGCTATGATTTTTAAACAATTGTCTAAGTTTTGTATCGTCGAGATTGGGTGGTAGATTGTGTATAACAAGCCGCACTCTCGAGACAAACATATTTAAGTTGCGCAACATCTGCGATTTCCATTGTTCCAATTTCAGACGTTTTGCCATATCGAAAATTGATACTTCCGCCGCAGCTGTGCTTCCGGCCAACACAACTAAAAGTATTCACTAGTAGTTTAAATTTTGTTCATACAATAATATAACAAAACAATTTTTCGTAACAATAATTACCTCCTTCTTTAACGAGGTACAAGTTTCTAGAGTCCTTAATCTTTTGTTCTTTCAAGCTCTTTTTACTTTCAACTTCATTTCTACGTAATGCCCTATGCGCCTCGATTATTTGATCGTGCATACGTAATTCAGTTATGTTCGACAAACATTTTTCTACACTCGTAATATCCTATAATAAAATCGCGTATTTATAATATCGATAATTGAGACAGATTCTGCAGACAAATTCAGCGTTTTCGACTGAAGATAAATTAGCAAGCCTTACCTTAAATTTCACAAATGCGGTACCTTTTGAATGTTCAGTTAGACGGTCAATGCATACCAAAGCATAATAAACCGGTCCAAATTGTTCCATGTACCTTCTAAGTTCATCATTCTTAACAGAAAATGGTACATTCTTTAGGAACACTGTTTTGCCTTCGTTAACATCATCAGATATCCGCCGCGGATATTTTGGATTAGAATTATCCTCTTCCTCCTCTTTAATAAAATTATTAATCCCATTACGATCATTATCATCATCATCATTATCAGTAACATTCTCATCATCATTATCACTGCTGTCACTAGAACTCTCATCTTCACTATCAGTATTCTCTGCTTCACGTTTCACTTCCATTCTTTCATCATTAGGTTCGTTCTTTATCTTTATTCTATCTACTGTGACCTCTTCACTATAATATTAAAATCCTAATATAAATACGATTCAAGTGTACAAGCAGATGATTAGAGTATATAAAGAATATAATTTATGGTTTTAATTACTTGTCTGACCCAGCATTCCAATCACCAGCTTTACCTTCAATAATAAACTCATCTTTCACTTGAGAATTTATATTATTTTCCGTACTACTCTTCAAAAACTTGGTCTTAGGTATAGCCCAATCAACTACAATAGTTCTATTCAAAAACGGTTGCATGTTTGTGTAATGTATGGCTTTTGCTGCATTTTGTACTAGATCGAATTGCACGAACGCACATCCAATTCGTTTACCATCGTGTCGCGTCAAAATCTTTATTTCTTCTATATTACCGTATTGAGAAAAGTATTCCTTCAAGTCATCATATGTGGTCTGAAAAAATGTTATTCATAAAACTTATGGATTATCTAGGAAACCTGTAAACATCTAAAGTAATACTTTTAGCGATATATGCAACAAATACCTGAAATGATAAATTTCGTATTACAATTCTGGCTCGTTTCTTCTGTCTCTTCTCCTTCTGGAGTTTTCTACTTTTTTGCTTTTTCAAATTACATTCTTTTTTGTGATGTATACTGTTACAATGTTTTGATACATTGTCTCCTTCCTTGTTACCTTCGGAAGGATGTATATCATCCTTATCGCTTTGTTCATTTTTAGCAAGGTTTACCTCAAGTTTCTTGTAGAACTTGGATTTTGATATAGCCCAATCACTATTTATAATTCTCCCTAAAAGCACAGGTTATTTACTAATCTCTTGCGTTTCAATTTAGTCTTTTTACTGTGTTTAATAGTATGTTACAGTACATAAAATAAGTTATTGTTTTCCTTTAATATATAATAATAAAATATATAACAATCAAAATAAATCTGGACAAGAATCAGTATCATAATATATAGATAAAACTGTTAATATTGTAACATTATATAATATTGTATAAGTTTATGGCGAATAGAAAATTCAAATATAAAAAGTATATCTACAAAGCTAAAGTTTGTTATTACCTAGAAATTCTTTTTTGTTAGTATTAAATATTGCTTTCGACGCATCTTCCATACGTGTAAATTGTATGAAACCATACCCAACTAATTTTCCATTTGAATTCCTCAGAAGATTTATTTCCTTGATTTTACCAAATGGTTCATATAATTTTTTCACATCTTCATCTGTTACCTAATACAATAAAAAACAACCCTTAACTCATAAAGCAATAAATAAACAAAATCTTTTTACTTTTATTATACTCAATTTATTGTACTCAATTTCAGAGAATTATGTTAAAATTAATATTTTGTCTCTATTGTCCACACGGATAAAGTATAATAAATACCTTAAAATGTAAATTTCTCACGATTATTCGAGCACTTTCGTCATCCATTGTAGTATGTTGTTGTTGATAATAATTGGTCGTGAAACTATCCATTATAGTATGTCCACCATTATTTACATCAGAGTTGGGTAATAACTTTTGAAAAATGATCTGTTCTTTTCAGCTGCATTGCTGAACTGGTGTAATTAGTTAGAGTGAGAAAAGATATACTATAAAAATATACTTGTCTCACTTTAACTTATTGCATCAGTTCAGCAGTGCAGCTGAAAAAAAACAGACCAAAAGTTAAAGCTCTAATAAGCGCGTTCAGTAGAAAAGGCACTCAATGAGCAATCAACGATTATTGGTTCTTACTGTTAGATCTCTAAATCTAGACTAATTACATTGGCTGCATTCAGTAGACTCAACAGTTGCACAACAGTTGAATAATTTGTCAATGTAATTGGTCTAGATTTAGGGATCTAATAGCAAGAACCAATAATCGTTGATTGCTCACTGAGCGCTTTTTCTACTGAATGCGCCCATTGACAAATTGCTCAACTGTTGTGCATCTGTTGAGTCTGCTGAATGCAGCCAACAGGCATGCCAGGCAACAGGCAATAGGAATCGACATTAGCCAATAGGAAAAGAGAATAGAAATAATTGACCAATCTGAATTCCTATTCCCTGTTCCTATTGCCTGTTGCCTGGCATTCTGCAAGGGTCTTTACTGCTTATTTCTTACTACTTCTCTTACTGCCATTGGCTTGGTTTACATCGTGCACTTGATATGCTTACTAAATAATAACTTTCTGTTAGATAATCTTAATACCGACAATGCATATCAACGACGCACTCAATCAATATATTTTATTGGTATTATACTAGCTTAATATATCATTGTTTATATATATCGTCGATATTAAGATTATCTAATGGAAAGTTACTAGTTAGTACGCGTATCAAGTGTACGATGTAAACCAAGCCATTGGCAATGTGTGTGTGTATGAGGCATTCTTCGTCAAACCGGCCATCTCCTTTGCCCAAAATTTGTATGAATCGATTGAGGTCAACCGGAGCTCAAATTTTAGGTGATCATGTCTAGTGTCGTTTGCTATTGGGCTTTTTGAGAAATTCATCATGGCAATATGGCGGCGGAAATTCTAATATGGTGGCGGAAACTGGAAAGAATAATGGAAAAATCCGTACGTGACTTCCTATATGCCACACGATTATTCAAATCGGCTCTAAAATGATCAACCCAAAGTTCTTAAGGTCGCTGATTACGACCTTAAGACCTTAAATGCACTCTTTATGCATTTGCGAATCAATTGAGATCTTCTAGAGTATTATCATTAGATTCAACAATAAGCGCCCTAAGGTTAGGTCTTAAAGGTTAATTCAAAGCTCATCTAGAACGCCTCTTTAACCTTCATTTACTTTACTTCCTTCAAGGAAATTGGTACTTTTTGAGGAGCATTGGAATACCGTTTTATAAATTTTTTTTCTCTTACAAAACCATGAAAGAATGACTGTTCGAGATATTAGGTATTGATATGGCTGTATGGAATCTTCTGTTCAATTTTCTAATCATTTTATCATGTTCGATCTTATTGAAGTAGAATACTTTAATTGTTTTGAAATGTTTCTGTACCCAACTGAAAAGAGCTTGTTATTTCCTTGAAAGAAGTAAATGAAGGTTAAAGAGGCGTTCAAAGATGAGCTTTGAATATCGCTTCGAGAACTACTAACCTTAGAGCGCTTATTGTTGAATCTGATAATAATACTCTAGAAGATCTTAATTGATTCGCAAATGTATAAAGGGTGCATTTAAAGTCTTAAGGCTCCTGGCCCCTCGCCTCGCTATATTGGTTTTATGACGTCAGAAGCGAGAAACGGTACGTCAAGAATTCTTGCGTGCCATATCTAAGTAAAAAGATATTCTTGACAAACAGCACTCGAAATCACTTCAACATACTTGTAAAAAGTTCCGAGTTCTCACCTTTTCCTTGGGCAATTCATACAAAGTCATAAAATAAGCAGTGAAATGAGGCCTGTCTACGCGAGAAAACGTGTGGTCAAACAGCTGATTAAACGAGTGTAAATTATGTTTCCACGTATTGTATATCACGAAAACCCGAGAACTCGGAATATTTTACAGGTTCCCACAATATGTCTAATGTCACAAAAGTCCACTAGAGTAAATAATATAACCACATTTCGCAAGAAAAAATTTGGCTGTCAAGAGCAGTATTATACTGCAGTATATGTCATTTTCTCACTCCATCGAGTTCATTGTTTTGCCGTATAATGACGCTGCACGTCATATGTCGGTAATAGGTTTCTTTCTGTACTATATGTCGCGTGTGGCGTGAGT